GATCAGCTGCTCCATGACATATTTAAGCTGCCCTGTTGGATCCAGAAAATTGTGATTTACTTCACTTTCCATTGCTGCACTTTCAATCTTGGTAACAAGAAGCTGTGATTTTTCTTGATTTCTAGTTAAGAATACACATTACAAGATTCTGCCATTTCCAGTGTCTGTGACGCAGGAGTATAGATTCCCCTGCTATCTAACCTTTAAAGTACCGTATTTTTTGCTCTATAAGACTCACTTTTCCCCCTCCTAAAAAGTAAGGGGAAATGTGTGTGCGTCTTATGGAGCGAATGCAGGCTGCGCAGCTATCCCAGAAGCCAGAACAGCAAGAGGGATTGCTGCTTTCACTGCGCAGCGATCCCTCTTGCTGTTCTGGCTTCTGAGATTCAGAATATTCTTTTTCTTGTTTTCCTCCTCCAAAAACTAGGTGCGTCTTGTGGTCTGGTGCGTCTTATAGAGCGAAAAATACGGTACATCTTTTCATAATACTCAGCTTCAAAATCACATATCAGAATGAGTTTTCTAGAATCCATCATTTATAGTAGGATCCAAATTACCTGACACCGGTCTTCTGCAATAAGGAGAGGCTTTATCGTGTGTATTCAAACTCAGAAATTGTCCAGGCTACTGGTGCACATCATTCTGCAATAAAACTATGTTTTCAAATAGTTCTGAATCCTTAATTTTTTTTCCTTTTAAAATATGAAAAATATATTAAACTACTTATTAACAAAATAATATAAAAACCTACTTTACTAAACAGACTTCTCAAGAAAGTCAAGGCCAGATAAAGGTTTTCTGGAACTTCTGGTTTCAAGAACTGTACTTATCTCAATTTGTGTTTACAAATGTGATAGAATCTAACAGTTGTGCAAAAAAATTGTAAATCGTAACATTTTAGGTGTCCCAAATCAGTCACATTTTGTACATTGTTATTTGAAGTTCCTCCGATGTTTAAAGAACTACTAGCACTAGCAGGGCAAAATCAGAAAAAAGGACATGCAATGGAGGAATCAATTTTGTTGTAAATAGCTCTTGTAAAATGGCAGGGGCAACAGAGGGCCTGCATCAGCTTTCCAAACTTCTCATGTTGGTGACACACTTTTTATACATGCATCATTTAGCCACACAGTAATTCAGTTTTACTAGCAAACCAGAGGTTAAACTAACCCATTTCCAGCTCCAGGAGGAGCACGGGGAGCGTTCACATGACACGCCTACAAACTGCAGCCAACACACTGACATGTTGCAAAACACAGTTTGGAAAGCTCTGGGCTACGCAATTGGAAAGCCAGCAGGGTATGTTGGACCTATTGTGCAGTCTTCTCCAAAGGAGAAAGCTGTTACATGTAACACAGGGATCAGGTTTGCTGTGGGGACCCCTGTGTTTTGTTAACATGAAGAACCTGTGTCCTCAATACCTCCATGCATTTCCATGGGAAGCACAGCTCAGTCATATGTGTGTAGTAGTTCAAGAATGTGCAAATGCATATTTTACCACTAAGCAGCAGGAGAGGATAGTTCAATATGAGTGGACCAGCAGCAAAGTTGATTGCTTCCTTTAGTCTGAAGCCACTTGTACAGTATGTATTAATTGGTTTTCACTTTTTCCTCTCCTGAACCATGATTTTCAAAGAGAGGGAGTGAGAGGGACAAGGTTTATATTGACACAACTCTGTTGGCGTGAATCCCTACTTAAAGTCTTGTTTAAAAAATTAGAAAAGTCTGATAATGGTTGAAGATTAGGATGCAGAGCAGGCTGCACCAGCTCCTTGCATGATCTTTGGTAACATACAAAACAGCTGGTCTGAAGGACATACCCTAAGAAGAAGCATCTATGTACACCTAAGCAATACTCTGATACAGAAGCAAGTGGTAAGGCAGACACTACTCGGCACACACAAAAAAGCTGCAGTGTTTTTTTGTTTCTTATGTTTGTCCATCTTTGATTAATTTAAAAATAGGCTATACCATCGATGAGGAAGCAGTCACACTCAAAACTTCCATTCCCTAGGGAGTTCCAGGGTAAAAACACTAATGTGTCTGGCTAGAGACTTATTTCAGACAGGAAAGCAGAGATACAAAAGCGAAGGCAGATAAACAGCACCTGCTCCCTTATTAGGAAGGCAGCTGATAGGGTGCGGGTCTGGTGTGTTCATGTTCCCATAACACCACAGCCAGGGATTTGGGAAGCAGGGTGGGGATGAGCAAAATACAGCCGCTTTCTTCATTTCCCATGCAACAAAATACATTGTGTGTACATATTACCTCTACATTATAATGTAAACCCTACTCCCAGAAAAAGCACTGACCATTTCCAGCTCTGTCCCTTACACATAGTATCATTGTTTCATAGTACACTGAAACACAGCCACTAAATCTTATTTGTTTGAAAAGCTGATACCAATAATGTTTCCTTACAATGGATTGAATCCAGTGTGGATTAGTAAGACTTTGGTTGCTCGTGATTAACTAAAACCCCTTTAATTTAAACGAGTCTGCTCCAAGTACAATTTACACCTCGCTTCAATTCAAAGATATTAGATTTGTTATCTTTGGAAGGAAAAATATGAATCCCTGTGACCCACGTGTGTGGGGTGAATAAGATAATAAATGCATCGGTTGGGTGCCTCGATTCAAAACATGGGGCAGTAGCAGAGTTTACTGCTGCTAAACTTTTGTGAGTTTAAACTGGGAATATAGGTTGTTAGACCCTTTTATCCCGTTTAGTCCACTTGGAAACAGTGCTCCTATTTCTACCCCTCTTGCAATGAACAGCCCACACATTCCAAAATAAGTTTTAAATGCTTTACTTACAAACGTTCCAAAGGTCAAATTCATGCATTTCTCGAAGCAGCAGCAAAGGAGAATATAGGCAGAATACGCTTGGGTCGAAAATACAGAGAGAGAGCTTCAAACACATGTTCAAAGCTTGGCGCTTGCTTAGGCAGGTCTTCCTTGGTCAGTTACATGACGCAGAGAGAGAAGGAAGAGGAAGGGAAGGCTTTACTTTCTCTCTCATTGGAGAGTCTAGGAATCCAGCTCTGTAGTCTTAATCCCTTCATGCACCAACTAGCACTCATGCAGTTATGTTTGATTGTATGCTATTCATCAGAGGCGCCTAGAGGGTACTGACACTTTCAGGAAGGCATCTCTTACTTGGTTGTGTTGAGTTAGCGCTCTTAAGAGCCTAATCCCAAGGTCTGGGTTCTCCATTTTATCTTGGGGGTTAGCTCCCTTCCTCTTCCTCATTTCTCCCAGCACTCTTTAGGTAGTATGGTCCCATGGACAATGTTTTTCCACTTTAGAGAGGGAGGTTTCTTTACCTTACTAGTGAAATCAGGTGAGTGGCACCCGGAGAAGGCCTTGTTAGTTGTGGTGCTCAGTCTATCAAATTGCCTTTCGAGACATGTTTGTCTGACACCAGCTGCACAATCTTTTCGTCACTGCGTGCTATTTTAACATATAAACTATGCTTTATTTTTACTTCGGTATTGTATCTTGCTTTTGTTAAATTGTCTGAAAGTATTGCTAACGGTATAAAACCTTTAATTAAATATTACTCAGATTCTGCAAACACCAAGAGCTGCTCCTTATGTTGCAGTGACCTAAACAGTGTTAAACAAAATAAAAGTTTAATGGTTTGAAAGCCATCCAAGTTGGTAGTCATTACTGCATTTTGTGGTAGCAAATTACAGAGTTTAAAGAAAGATTTGTGTAAATAAATATTTCCTTTTGTCTTCCCTGAATCTTCCAATATCTGGCTTCATTGGATGACCTTTGGTTTTAATACCAAGGGAGAAAAAATTCCCTGTATCTTTTCCAAACTAAAAAGCCGAAATCGTTGTAATCTTTCCACATAGTGGAGTTCACTTTAGCCACTGGTTAATTTTGCTTGCTATTTTCTGTATATTTTTCAGCTCTGCAATAGCTTTTTCTGAGATGTGATGTGGTGACCAGAACTGTAGTTTTTCAAGTGTGGTCACACCACAAATCTATGTAACAGCAATATATCATGTTGATCTAGGGAAGAAGCTATAACAGACATAACATAAATGGAGACTGCAAAGTTTTGCAGAAAAGCATGGATGAGAACATATTCACCCATTCAGAGTACATCCTATCACTTTCCCTTTGACCTTGCCTCCTACATATTATCTTCAAGGCAAAATAGCATTTCCAGGAAAGGAAGGTTTACATATTATTTCAAACTGAATGCCCTCTTAAGGCACCAGGCACTTTTAAGTTAGCGTTTCACAGCTGCAGCATTTGGTTCCTGCAATCCAAATGGACTTGCTGGGGGGGGGGGGAATAACCCGTCTGGAACATACCTGCTCTAAGCTAAATTAAAGCAGAGACACAAAAAGGTTAGAAGGCTATGATTTCTGACTAGATTTAATTCCTAATTTGTCCAGCACATGAATACTTTCCCAAACTCTTGGTCAAGGCAATCTCTGCTCACTCCATTTTCAGTCGGTAGAATAGCATTAAGGGCTGGGCAAAATCTCTTGTGTCTTAATTACCTATCTGTAAGATGGAAGATAATAATACCTTCCTACATCAAAGGGATGTTGCAAAGAAATTCATTAGTGTGTGTGTGTTAAGAGATTCAAACTCTGGTGAGAGCAGCTAAATAACGAAGTCGATACAGCTTCACGGCAGGAAGCAAATCACAGGGCAATTGTGTATGCTTAGGTAGGACATTCTCTATTAAAGGAAACAGCTGGGTTTTGTTTAAGAACCAATCCAATGCACTGTGATCTGGTGAGGATTAATGAAAATATAATAATGCATTTGCATATAAACATGTTCTGAAGCTTTTGTATGTCACTTTATTCTTGTATATCAACACAAGATGCACTTGTTAGGTGTAGTTTCCCTCCATTTCTGTAATGTGTGTGTATAACAGAGGAGCTAAACCAACTGAAATGAAACAATATTTTTCAAAGTAGGAGGCTACTGCAGGTGGTACCATTTTTGCCCAGTCCTAAATAAAGACACTAGGGGTTAGGTGATAATTACTTCATTTATTGACTGAAACATGCATATATTCCTAGACATTATGGCCACTAGCACAGCAATGAAAATAAATGTTATGAAAAGACAAGAAATATTTTCCCTTCCCACTCTGCAAACAATAGAAATATTCAAGTTCCAGGCAAAAAAATAGGAGAAAAATAGAGAGGGGGAGATGACCAGATGCTTATAATGGACCAAAGCAGTGTTAGCATGGGCACTAGAAATCATTCAGCTTGTTTAACACCACCGTTAAAACCCCAGACCTTTTAATATATTCCAGCTTCATCCTCTCTACCAGGTACCACATGATGTTGTTTAACCTCCATTGACCACCATTCCTCCAATAAAGCAGGTGGAATTGCCAAATAAGAGATTAAAAGCAGGAACATAACAGAAATTACAGTGGCACAATCTCCAGTGTTTACATGGAACAGGGGTTTGGTTAAGAGGAGATGTGAAATCAAAGCTGCATCTCATAAGCGATAAAGAAATTGAGTTTCCAAAGCTCAGCTTCTGCTGTTAGAGTGCTATTTACGTTGAAGCAGGAAACAAAAATGCTGGAAAAAGACCCCTCGCAGGCATGGCCAAACTTGGCCCTCCAGATGTTTTGGGACTACAATTCCCATCATCCCTGACCACTGGTCCTGTTAGCTAGGGATGATGGGAGTTGTAGTCCCAAAACATCTGGAGGGCCAAGTTTGGCCATGCCTGGCTGGGCATTTTAGACCTTGTGCTAAAATGTCAGACCTTGGACCCAGCCAGCCATGTATGGCAGCCCACCAGGGCTCAAGAAGCTTTCTGGTTTTGCATATGCAGACACGACCTCTGAAAGGCCTAGCAGCCTACAATGTATGGTTGGCTGGCTACTTACGACACAACTTGTCGCAAGCTGTGCTGGTCTGCATATGTGAATCTTTTCGCACAGATCTGCATGTATTATGAGTGCTCCATGGAGATCACACAGCGCTTTGGCTTTCACCTAAAACCCACTTAGTTGGAATTATTTTGTATTTTAAATCCTCTGGTTCTAAGCAATGCGCTGTATTGCCAAATTATTAAGTTGTGAAATCAATGGGACATATCTTCTAAATAAGTGTGCTTAGTATCCTCCCAGCCAGAGCGAAGTTATCTATAAGGCAGCATATCTCAGATTTAGTGAAAATATTGGGGGGTTATATTTGCTGGCAAGGAGACGTCGTTATTGTCAACAAATGAAAAGAACCCAAAGGAGTCAGCAGGTGGCCATTATCTGTACATGTTTCATTAAAATCGCATAAACCTTAAGTACAAAAACACCACGGATTATTGCTCTAGAAAAAACCGCAAGAAAAACCCAAACACCCACGGTAAAAACATCACCATATGCACAAGACGTACATTTCTGAAAAGCGAGAATATGGAATGCTGGTCCAACCTTACAAACACTTTTTCCCCTCCCCCAATGTTAAGCTGATACTTTTTAAAAACTTGGCAACATTGGGGATTTCTAGAAGCGTGGGTATGGAAGGAGGGAAATGTTCATATACAGTTTGTCAACTTATTTTAAGTCCTAAAAAATTAGCATTTACAAAATACTTGATAAAAATATCTTTTAAAAGTTGTCTAGAGGTACATAAAATCATCCTCAAATGTTCATGTCAGTTCACACGCACTTGTCATCTACTGATTCAGTTCTCTGTACCTGCAAAAAAAGGAAACGGAAAAGAAGGTTTTGGCAACTGACCACTACATGTAAGTCTCTTTTTTTTTAAAAAAGCAGCACAACCAATATGCAATCTTTCCTTTTGCAGTATTTGTACAGCCCAGTTCCAGACTTTTAAACACTGCATTAATATAGACAGGACATCTATAATCTTACATTCATTGGTTCCTGATTTTCAAAAGCCAGAGAAGCCTTACCTGCCAGCTTCAATTGTTCACAATGAAAAGCACCACACTACTATCTGCCTCTATTCACTGCACACATGCAGATTGCTCTACCGTACCCTGAACTTTCACTGTTTCAATCTGCCCTTTTACTGACAGTGTGCTGGGTGGGGCACCTCTGGATGCTGAAACACTAACAGTGGAGCGAGAGATGCGGATCTGTAATAACATCACGGGGCAATAAAAAGAAATATTATGAACATGCTTGCAATGGCTGGAAAAACCGAATTACAAAACACAACTGAGTGAATCGGCAGGAGTTCTGCGCGCCAAGTACCTCTTCAGTGTTACTTTCACCATTTTCAGACGGTGCAGTACCTTCCTTTGCCGCTTCCTGCTTTTCATCCTTCTTCCCCTTAGCACCTTTGCTGGCCTTTGCTCCGGGTTCCTTCTGGAAAACAAGATCAAACGGAGGGAGATGGATTCATTACAGAACCAAGAAAGCTCCCCAGGAACTGCGAGCGCTCTGCAAAAACCCATCAGAAATAAAACACTGGAGGCTCTCTTGGCACATTCCACAGGCACCTGGGCTCCTATGGAATCACAGAATTGTAGAGTTGGAAGGGGCCCCGAGGAACATCTAGTCCAACCCCCTGCAATGCAGAAATAGGCAGCTGTCTCATATGGGGATTGAACCAGCAACCTTGGCATTATTAGCACCATGCTCTAACCAGCTGAGCTACCTATGCACAATCCCTTTCCGCCTCCCACCCTTCCAGGTTTTGTGTGAAGAGGGAAAGGTACATATGCCAGTCCAGAAATGAGATTGGCGTACATGTGTTTGCACGCAGGAACCCAAAGCATCTTTCTTCACCACTTCTGTGGAAGATGACCAAAAAACTACAAGGTATTTTAATCTTGTGCACTGAAAATATTTTGGTTCCAGTAGAGAGGTAAGATTATCTACCTACCTATCTATCTACAGTGGTGCCTCGCAAGACGAAAATAATCCGTTCCGTGAGTCTCTTCATCTAGCGGTTTTTTCGTCTTGCGAAGCAACCCTATTAGCGGATTAGCGCTATTAGCGGTTTAGCGGCTATTAAAGGCTTAGCGGCTTAGTGGCTAAAAGGCTATTAGCGGATTAGCGGCTTAGAAAAAGGGGGGGAGCGAAAAAAATCGCAAGACCTTTTCGTCTAGCGAAGCAAGCCCATAGGGAAATTCGTCTTGCGAAGCACATCGAAAAACGGAAATCCCTTTCGTCTAGCGGGTTTTTCGTCTTGCGAGGCATTCGTCTTGTGGGGCACCACTGTATCATCTATCATCTCAGGAAGTGCCTATATATTAAGGACTGGCTAATAAAAACATGGAATATGCTAGAAGGTGAAACTCCAAACAACTAATTATCCAGACTAACACTTCTTGCATGACAGCTGTTTCTACACTGGACTGATCCTGTTGACCTTATAAATCAGGCATAGGAAAACTCGGCCCTCCAGATGTTTTGGGACTACCAACTCCCATCATCCCTGACTCCTGGTCCTGTTAGCTAGGGATGGTAGGAGTTGTAGTCCGAAAACATCTGGAGGGTCGAGGTTGTCTATGCCTGTTATAAATAAATTAAGGCACTAAATCGTGTTGAAGTGGTATTACTTTAGTTCTCCTGTGATGTGGTGGCATGAAGGCTTCTCTCTAGGAAAAGCAGGGAGGGGAGGAGCCTGACACATGCAGAACTTCTCCATGCTCTCTAACTCGCTGAGCACTCATGTCTCTAGCTGGAGGACCCCAATGACTTGCATCGGATTTGTGGAGATTGGAACACTGGACTTCCTGTAAGTGTTCTTAAGGGCAGTGGAGAGTGGAGCTTGCAAGAAATGATTAATTCCTTTTCTAGAAGGCAAGGTCAAAACTTGCAAAGAACATTTATCAGAGCCAGCTGGAAGGGGAGGCAACCTGTCCCAGATTTGGCCATAGCAAAAAAACCCTTAACCATGTACTATAACCAGGTTAATTTATTCATTCATTCAATTTGTCTCCTGCCTTTTCCTCGGAACCAGGACTCAAGATGGCTCACAAAAATAAAAATAAATAGGCTGGTAGTCTTCAGGGTACAACAGCCCTGCAGAGCGGTTAAGTGTTTTGCCTTGATTGCAGGCTGGAGGACTATGCTGTGAGTAGCTTACACCAGCCCTATAATGTAGCCCACTGCAAATATTGCAGCTCAGAGGTGGGGGCCCTCCTTTCAGGCCAAACCAAGCCCTCACTGTATGCAGGGCAGTGGGTGTGTGGACTATATATATAGAGAGAGAGAGAGGGCTCCAGAGCTATATACAAATACATACTTGGCTCGCCAAGTGTTCAGTAATGTTTGGCTTGGGAGAAAAAGGTGGAAGGCAAAGTGAGTTTAAGACAGGGCTGAAGTCAGAACAGCTGGAAAACAACTGCATGCTCTATCTAATTAGGATTTACCAAACTGTGTGAAGCCCTTAAATGATCAATTATTTTCAATGCTTCTATTATTCTTTTATCTCAGGCTAATATAACAACACAAATTACTTTGCCACGGCGGTATTATTTATATCCCGCCTTTATTTCCTGGAACTCAAGGCGGCACACACTTCCTCCATTTTATCTTCACAACCCTGTGAGGTAAGTTAGGCTGGTAGTGACTGGCCCAAAGTCTACCAGTGAACTTCATGGCTGAGGGAGCATTTGAACTAGGCCTCCTCAATCCTAGTCTGACATGCTAACCATACACAACATCAGTGTTGCTCCACCTCTGTGAAGTACTGGGCATTTATCCCAAGGTAGCGCAAAGTAATATGTCCCATCGCTGCAACAATTTCCATTTGTGCAACAGGAATTCCCCTCTCCATTTGCTCTAGATGTTCCCCTAACTCTCCAGAGCAGATTTGGGGAGGGTGCAGGGTGCATGAAAAGAAAAGAGGGGAAGGCGGAAAGTCCCTTGCTCTGGCGGGATGCCCATTCAAAGCAGACCTCTCATATCTGTGCTTTTCGGTTTCAATTGACGCTGGCTGACAGCTTAATTGGGAGACTGCTACAGCTCTAGACTCCAGAGAAGCGGGATATCGTTTCTCTTGGGGCTCCTTTGATTGTGGAGCGGGCTATAAAGCTACTGCTTATCAGGCTTAAATCTGATGGAAGGGAGGGGGCGCAGAATTAATCTCAGGAGTGTCCATTTTATTTTTGCACCTTGTGAGAATTAGATGTTTTTGGCTTTCGTGACAAAATAAAATTTAAAATGTGGTATAGGTGCACCAGCAATGAAGAACTGCAAGGTACTTACTATGTAAAGTAAAAACTATCGCTAATTTGTTTTCCAGAGACATGCCCATGCAATCATAGAACAGAGCTCATGCCCAATATAGTCTCCTAACTTAAAATTTTGCTAAACTGAAGAAATTGATTCATCATTCCCTTTCCCATAAATAGATACTGTGTTTTCACCTCTGAATGTTGTTAGTATCTGTGCTTATAACAATACATTATGTGACAACTATCCCAGGCTGTGAGCCTACAACTCAGGTTGTTTACTGTTGCAAAAGTTTCACAGACTTGACCCACAGTTGCTGCCTTTTCTTATGTTAATCCTACATTAATTTTAATTACTTTAAGATGTAATGATTTCATTAACTATTAACAGTTATAACCCTCTATTCATGTTGGGTAGACTGAGCAAGAGAATATAGCGGTACAGAGAAAGCGCCCAGTAGGCAGAGTAAAACAAAAAACAAACCACTGTTAAAATAAATTTTTACCTTAGTGGTTTTTCTTGGCTTAGGCTCAGGTTTTGGTGGAGCTGGCTTCTAGGAAAGAATTTCAGACAATCCAAGCATTAGCACAGTTGCTACCAATTGTTTCTTAATCTTTCCCCTTTCCCCACTTCTTAACATGTGACACCAAAGAAGCCAGAGGCCATTTCTACAGATAGGCTTCAGTCAAAATTACCTTCTATATCTTATCAAAATGTCTGAAAGTCTGGTTCTCTGCACGTTATAGATGTACTGTGAGAAACAGTTTCCTGTCATCTCCAAAAGAGGTTGCATTTCTCTCTCCACACACACACACACAAAATGACCACACATTTCTTTTCTGGAAAGGATATTAGGAGCCAGCCAACCAACACAACATGTGAGTTTGGTTATTCAGATTCCTGTGAATCAGGGATGGGGAGTCTGTGGTCCCCCATATGTTGATGGACTCAAGTTCCAATCAGCCCCAGCTGACATCGCTGATGGTCAAGGATGATGGGAACTGTAGTCGAACAACACCTCGAAAGCCACAGGTTCCTTGTGCCTGCTATAAATCTCAGAAACTTTAACAACTGGAGTTTAATATTCTTTAATGACTGGGGGTGCACTCCAGATATCCTTTACAGACTTTGGAAAGTGACACATTTCATCCAGAGGAAGGGGGCCACAAATAGTGGAGCTAGTTCTACTACTTGCCTTAGGGGAGAGAGGCTGCAAGAGTTTGGCTGAGTATCTAAAGCAGGATCAGGAGTGCTGATACCCAACATTGGAAGATCTGTTCCTTCCAATATGCTCTATGTGCATATTTGTAGGTAAAATAAATTATTATAAAAATGCTACAGATCTTGTGCTCAGACCAAAAGGAAACAAAACCCTTCGTAGCTGTCCCGGGGCTTCTTGCTGCTCAGGAAAGTTTGATCGTTCCAGACGCCTGATTAACATTCAAGGATTAAACACCAAATCTAGGTAACATTGGCTTACCACTCGCCACACGGCATGGCCACTGCCACCTTGTCAAGCTTGACATGAGAAAGAATGTGGCTTCCTATCTACACAAACAAGCTCTTATAAATACTTACAGCTGACAGTCTTGCAGATCGTCTTGTTGGCTATAAAAAGGAAAGAAAATATCTTTGTAGATTTGCAGCAGTTCACATCCACACAAGGCAAAAATCTGTCACTCATTTGCCAACAAAATAAAATGTACCTGAAAGACAACAGAAGTCTTTATTACCAAATGCAAAGGTCTTTGCATCCTGAGGGATTATTGTTTTACATGTACGCGATGTACTTGCTCAGCTTATTTGCTTACTACGTTTTGGAATCTTATCTTCCTGTTTGTTTCTCTACGGTTGTGGAAACCTCTTGTGGCAAGATCAGTGGAAATTATTTCTGGGACTGTGCTCCAAGGCACATTATGAACAAACAAAATCTGAAACCCCCATTCCCAAAGCCCAAGTAAGAGTGACTTGGTGGCCTTTGGCGCTTTCTAAAAATAATAATGCCATATTCTTTGAGCACCCAAACACTGGGGAATAAATAATGCACACCTAGTAAACTAGACTTTCTTGATGTGGAATTTGGATTCTTTTGCAACGGAATCTAAAGAGTCTTGATCCTAATGATTGAAATTTGATACTATGATAAGAAAACATCAGTGCTGACACGGAATCTTTAATTTACTGCTCCTTTTGTAAACTGGAATCTGGTGGGAGAGGATCTTGAAAAGTCGTAACTTGTAAATAACTGGTAGAGTTGTGCGGAAAATCTGAGAAAAGTACAACCATGATTTTTAAGGGGAATTTGTGGCTTCATGGATTGGCGAGTGAAGCATCAAGCCACACATTCATTTAGAGGAATTTTGAATTGGAAGTACTTTTGCTTTCCTCTGTGACGTAAGTCAGGCCAAACTTAAAACAACAATGTACTATTTGCTTATTTTAATTAACGCTTTTAGAGAATTTATTGCAAGGCAATGAACAATAATATAAAGTTCGGCATGAAACAATGATATCAAAAACACTCCAATAAAATACTAAAATAATAAAAACAGGGGGCAAAGATACAAACAACCCAAGGTTATTAAGATATCACCAAGTCCAGCTGTAGAAAGCAAACCCATCAACTGAGCTCTCCTTCAAGAAAAAGGCCGTGGCAAAAGGCATGTCTTCAGGTGAAGGTCAGCTGTGGTCCTATGGTACACAGGCACCAGCAGCACATTCTGCTGTTTTTCTGATCTAACAAAAATGAACCATGAATGGGGACATGGTCCCACCCATGGAAAGCCTATTGGAAGCTTGAGAAACTGCCAGGCATGGTTGAGTAGGAGGGAGAAAGTCACATTCATCTGGGGAGGGGACACACAGTACTCCTGCGCCACGTAAGAGATAACCCTTCAGGGGTAGCTCTTCACAGTGCTAGCCATCTGTTCACATGCTATAAGCAGATGACAATCTCGGTGCAAGCATCCCCTGCTCCGTGTAGCACTGTCGGAACTGACAGGGCTGACCACACCTTAGGAAACAGGAAAGGGAGAGCACTATAATATTAGTATTTGGTGTGCCACCTGAGGCATGCCTGTAGCTTTTGTACCATGTTTGTGTTTTCTAGTTGAGGATTTTCTCTTCCCCCTTCCAGGCTTGGGCATGCACTGGACATTTCACTGGCAAAGCAGCAATGATGTGATATGAGCACAGGACTGGTGTGAAAAACACATTTTCTTTCCTAAATGCGTGCATCTCAATCTAGTAGTCTCATACATGGTTGCACACATGAAGTTGCACCTGGAGGAGCATGTGCAGAAGAAATTCTGGCCAAGTCTGATGTTTGTGAACTACTGTGCAAGAGCTAGAGGAATATCGTTCAAGAGGTTGAGAAAGTTTGCTTTCCTCGCACAAGTATCTTGCACTAAGTCAGGAAAGCTGCTGCTGCAAACTGAAGAGGCCTTCTTCGCCTTGCGGAAGGGCACCTTTTAGCACACACAGACCATAAATTTTCAGCTCCAGAACCAAATTTCTTCACATGACGTAAATAAGCCTGCGCAGCGCACTGAGCTCCAGGTCAGAGTAACAAAGAGAATTATTCTACTTTATCACACCAGTGTCAGCCTGAAGTAACATTCCATTTTTCCAAAAAATGACCATTTCATTCAGCAGCTATGGTTAGCCTTTTACTCGTGTTTCAAAAAAAAGTATGTTCTTCTACACAGTCATCTTAAAAAAACATCAACTACCCAACACAACTTTGCCTCCAGCCAACTACCCTCACATGCTTCACAAATTTTTACATTTCTCATTTCCACAATTAACATTCAGGTTTTTTAAGTTCAAATATGCCCTCTAGAGAACATTAAAAGTGCTTCAGAAGAGAGGCAATTCATTGTTAATTATCCCAGGCACTTGGTTTTGTAAATAAAATTTGTTCTTTCAGATTGGTAACTTCTTTGAAAATAAGGACATTCATACATTGATCCGATCAGGAAAAGCATTCCCTTACTGCGCGTAAGTAAATCAAATGTTAGCGAAAATGCCTGCAGTTTTGAGACTAGCTTAATGCATCGATTGATTTTAAATGAGTGTAAGTGCTAAAAGTTGGGGTTTTTTGTTGGCTACTTAGGTCACACTGTGTCATCTCTTATACAAACGTATCCTGCACCCACCTGCTATCATCTACACTGGCACTAAATGGACCCTTGTATAGGCGTTAAGGTTGCACAATTCTGCAAAAGGTTGTGTCTAGGAAGCTGTCAAACCATTGGTCTATCTATTCCGTACTGTCCTCACTGACTGGCAGCAACTCTCCAGGATTTCGGAGGGGACATTCCCATCCCCAAACCTGGAACAAACCTGGAACCTTCTGCATGCAAAGCAGATGTTCTGCCACTGAACTATGGCCCCTACCTGATAAATACAGTCTGCATGGAACTGTATACAGTGTGCCTGCAACTAATGTGCGTTTAACTTGCGTGCATTCAGCTTTATGTGCTTGGCAAAAAAATAAAAACGGGGATGGGCATCTGGGGAAAAAAGTCTTTGGCAATCCCACTTGCACCCAATGTGTTTAAACTATGCATTATTTTGGCTTTAGCTGCAATCCCCAGAATGTAGCCCCTGAGTAAGTTCCAGGCTTATAGAAACAGGAACAATGATAAACTCTCACCACGCTGCTGTTTTCTACCTACCTGTCTGATTTGCGCAAGTCTATCAGCTGTGCTTCCCAGGAAGAAAATGTTTTTAAAGAGTAAGAGAAATGCAAAATAAGGCGGCTGCTGTCAAAAAACAACCTTAAGATTATGACTGGCAGCAGAAGCTGCTTCAAGCTGCCCCCCAAAGAGATCCAAAGCTGGAGACTGTCCCAGTCGTAAGGAGCAGGCCAGGGCATCCAGGCTGCCTCAGCAGCAGACCAGTGAAGTGAACAAAGGCAGTGCCAGACGGAAGCGAGTTCACTTGTAGAGCAGACATGCCCTCAGAGTTAAGTCTTCCAACTCAACAGTGCCTTTGTACATATTCTCAGATTTAGGAGACAGAAGTGGGAACTTACAGAATTTAAACAGCAGCACATTATACTGCCTAGTGATATCATCGTCATCATCATTTATAAGCTGCTTTTAAAACCAAGCCTTCCCAAGGCATTCAGACAACGTGTCAACGATATACGATCCATAATAAACAGTACGAGTCTCAGCTGAGCTTGTATATTCCATGCAGCCACAATCTGTGCCATGCTAGTGAGAAAATTGGTGTAATAATAAATAATTATAGCTTGGTTCAGTCTATTATCATGGCTGCAAGGACCCTACAAGGAATAACAGGACCAGGTTTCTCTAAACAAACCCACACCCCAGTGGCAGACAGAATTTCCAAGATGCTGGTCACTGATCTTCCACATCAAGTCTCTTTTAGCTATTAAGAGGCCCACAAACTTCCATAATCTGCTGTTGTATCTGGGTCCTTCTTCTGCCTCATTATATATTAATAATAAAGTCATGCCAGACAGGATAAAACTGTGGCTTTTTCAATATCTTCTGTGTAAATGAACTTTCTGTAATAGCTTTTCTGATGTGGCCAGAAAACAGATTTTGCCATATCAAGATTTTCACTGGCTGTCACAGGCTCTGCAGAGTTTCAGACCAGGGACACCTGAAGATGCCAGTGATTTAACATGCATGCAAAGGGAGTGCTCTCTGATGGAGCTAGACCAGCCAGCCGCCATCTGAAAGCAAGCAATACACACACACACACACACACACAATCTTAGTGTTTAATTTCACTCTTTTCTTATGGCTCTTATTGCTGAAAATATATTCAGCCAGTGCTTGCAGTATAGTATTTCAGAATCAAGGAATCTATGCAGAAGCACAGGAGATGACGTTTTGAAGGTCTGCAGTTTCCTGTCGTTCTCTTAAATCCAGCAGAAAATCAGACTCAGCAAGCAAATTTATTTTAACTTGTGTAAATTATCAGGTCACAGGTGTGGGTGGGTGTTTTGTTCATTGACCCAGAATATGAGCTAGTCGTTGTACTGTTAATTTTGAATATGAATGACACAGCACACAAACTATTTCAGGCCTGACTCACCCCTCACAGATAGTTGCATGTACTAGCGGATAAGTTGCACTTTGGCTACATGTGAGCTAACTCTACTGTCTCGCTAGTATTTTGTCTTATAAAGTCACCAATTTATAAAGAATGGTTGAGAAACGAAGGAGGGAGTCACACTTGCCTCTTGTTTTGTTAGTTTCGCGGCATCCTTGCCTTCAGCACCCTCTGGAGACTAGGAAGGAAATGATAGAATTTAGTTAGTTACACTACATTCTACTTCCTTAAATCAGACAAGCAGGATAGAAATAAGAAAGCAAAAGCCAAGAATTACACATTATTCTATCCCTCTAAAATACTACTCTTATTTTCAGTGCTTTACGTGTTTCAGAGCAGCAGTGATGAGCGCAACCTTGACTTCATGGTGAAACATGATAGCAATAGGTTGCTCTGTCTCTAATACACGCATTTTAATCAGGGATAGAGCATCTGACCTTGCCAGTTTTAAAAACATCTCTGAAGCTGGCTTTGCATTTCCCATTAAAGGTAGCTTTAAATTACACATGAAATAAACTGCCTGAAATGCTTTCAAAATTCACTATTTAGTTTTAATAACAAACAAGAGTCAATCAAAATACCTGTCAAATGGTAGCTCAGCAACTGCGTTGCCTAGCTCTAGGGGGTCAGGGTAATGGAGTGCAATTGCAAAATATATTTAAACTTCCCTCAATAACAGAGAAACACTGAGACAAGAAAAGCACAGGCTAAATATGTATTTCCCTTGCTTCTACACATGACAGTAACAGAACATCGCTTTAAACAAAATGGCAGATTTACAAGACGGCATTCAGACACATCCTGAAGGCACTTCAGAATTCCCAGGCTACAACCCCAGTGCTGAAATCTTGTCTATGTAAGTTTTTCATTGTGGCAAGAATCAGGCTTTCCCCAAGGATACGACACTGGCTGCCTTACAGCCTAAAAAAGATGGCGTTCATATTCCTCAGCTGAGTTTCCAGCTGATTAACAAGGTGCGTTCATAGAGGGATGCAACAGCTGGAGATTGATAAGATAAGGGAATGAAGTGGAGCCTTGAGGCTTAACCTAACAAGGATGTAGAAATCTCTTGGAACACCAAATGCTTCGCTTCCCACAGGCATGGGCTCCTCCAATATTAAGAGATCCATGAGGCAGAAATGACGAATGGACCAAACTAAGGCACGGGAATTGATTTTCAAATTCATCCTGCCTCTCATGTAGGCAGTCATGAGGTCGCCCCATTTTCCCCAGGACACAAGCAATGTCACCGGCAAACTGACAAAGGATACAATCTAGGACTGAGTGATGTCCAGCTTTCAACATCACAATATATCACCAGCTAAATCACCAACGTATCACAATGTCTGAAATAAGGATGTAACCATGTAGAGGCGAACGGAGTACAGTTGTACCTCGGAAGTCTAGCCGAATCCGTCCTGGAAGTCCGTTCGACTTCCAAAGCACGGCTTCTGATGGGCTGCAGGAAGCTCCTGCAGCCCATCGGAAGCCGTGGAAGTCCCGTTGGACATTCGGCTTCCAAAAAAACGTTCAAAAACCGGAACAGTCACTTCCGGTTTTCAACCGTTCAGGAGCCGGAACGTTCAACTCCCAAGGTGTTCGAGAGCCGAGGTACGACTGTAATGTCCTGGCAACTGCTACTACTTAGGGGGTCTAAAACTGATACATTTTTACTTAAACATATTTTTATAACTGTTATTTTATAATACAGAGCAACAGGGCAGCAGGAATCATGAGAGAAAGGATAACCAGCTTCACAGATTTTCCCACATCACATTTTTTTTACATAGCACACAAACACATTGTGAATTACGATCTATTGCCATGTCAAATATTATGAAACCCCATCACGATGTGGACTTCAAGCCGATTTTGGATGATGTATTGATGCATTACCGAGCACCACTGCAATTCAATACTCAGGACTAAGCTCAGTGGGAGTGGCCACTGAGTAAATAACAGGAGACTCATATACATGTCTACTCAGAAGCAAGTCCCACTTAATTCAACGAGGCTTATTCCCTTGCACTGCAGTCTTAGTGACTAACATCTCATTTACAGTTTTCTGCTAAAGGGAGACCTGAATGCCTCAGCAAAGAAAATTGAATTAGGTTTCTGTTGCAAGCCGCAATCCTAGAAAGTGAGCACATCACTCTTTAAAACTGATATGCTCCAGACCCTGAAATGCTTTGGGCCATCAGGGAAAATATAATGTAAATTAAAATTAAAATGGCTTCAGAAGAAGACTCAGCGGCAGCTTCAAGTAGAACAACCATTCAATTACGCATGTACAGTATTCCAGTTTATTTTACAAGTCACTGTAGAAGAGAAGTGAAGAGAGAAGTAATGAAAACAAGTAATCAATAGAATCATTTTGAGAAAGGAGCTGAGGGAGCAATAGGCAGCTCAGACACATGCATGTACAACAGTTGATTTCTCACTGCTTGATTACTCAACCTGAGCGAGCCTGCAAAAATGAAAGCAAACAACGTCTCTTATTAGTGAAGCCATGAAATGAGACTGACGTTGCCTGGTCTATGCACACTTCTTGCGCAGAAGTAAAATGCCATGGAGTTTAGTGGGGCTTATTCCAGCTTAGCATGCATAACATAAACAGGTTTCCTTGGTTTCTCTACCCAAAGCAACAGTTTTCAACCTTGCCCACTTTTCAGTATTTTATCATGAGCCTACCGCAGAGGCTTATTTTGTTTAACTGAACCCCAAACACCAAGGTTTGTTTATCATCTAACAAGAACTGAGCATGCCATGGCAGTTACAAGTCTGGTTTACAAGCAGTAAAATTCTTAAACCAGCATATATTTCGATTCTGGTGGATGGCCTAGTGATTTTTTTTAAAAAAATCATTTTTTTATTTGCAAATTTAACAAGGAAAGAGAACAAAAGGAGGGAAATGAACTTTGCGGAGATGACGCATGCTTACAAGACAGACTTGCCCAGTGATCTGGAATTGCACGTTTCAGGAAAATATAGGCCTGTGTGTTTTGTTTTCCAAATCATGGCTTTTAAAAATAATAAAAACACCTGTGATTTTACTGTGTACAGTCTTTTACAATGTTTGTAAGCTGCCACTGGGTGAGATATATTGAAAAGAATGCAACACAAATAAATAATAAAATAAAAAGATAACCAAAGCCTACATTTTTAGAATTTACCAGTGTGTTCTGGTTTGTTTAAAGGTTTCGATGGATAAAATGAAATTTCAGAGGCAAAACCTTAACAAGAGAGAGAGAGAGAGAGAGAGAGAGAGAGAAGAAGGAACTCTACTGAGTCCCAGATCTGGAATTATTTTAGATTATTAGATGTCAGCTGCTCAGCAGGCAGGGAAAACAAAACTGAAATTAATTCACAGGCACCAGCATCATATTATTATTCAAATGTTTAGAAAAAGTGCATGGGATATTATCCTGTCCCATGGTAAGTATCCTGTGTGCTTTCCCTCAAAAATGGTCTCCGATCAGCCACACCAGTAAATAGGGCAGATGTGATCAGTTACTGCTATGTTTGCACTGACTAGGGCGGGAGGTGAACTTAGCTGTTCACAGCTCCTGCCATCTTTATTTTACAAGCAATCAAACTGATTCCTTGACCTTCCAAATCAGCCAGTAGTCTAAATCTCAGACTTCCACAAAGGAACTTAAGGTAGCATATAGTTCATCCACACAAGAATCCTATGAAGGGGCCAAGATCACTGTTCGAGAAGTTTCACATCTTAATTTCACATCCCAACACTATACCACACTGGCTCTCTTGAGCCAATGTTAAAAATACATTATTCTACAGATGTCATCATACAAACAACTCTAAACTTTACACAAAATACTTCCAAGTAAGTATGCAAAGGAACGAAAATTTAGGCTGCAGTCTTGTGACCATAAGGGTAAGAACAAACGCTTCAAGAAAAAAGATTTCCTTAAAAAAAAAAAAGTTCTGCTATATAGACTGTAATGATATATAGACAGTAACAGTTTAAAGATCTACTGTATTAATATATTACTCTTGATGGAAACCGCAAAAGAAACAAAATGTGCAAAAGCCCCTTGTATAGAATTAATGCCCAATTTCTTCAAGGTTAATAACTTAGTAATAGAGAGAGAGAGTGTGCAAGTTAGGAGATTTGTGCTCCAAAATGCATGTTAATAAAAAGCCTTAGTAATAATAAAAGCTTCATCATAAGCTGTGGTGAATATTTTATTGTGGCAAACATTTGGTGTAAATGCCAAAAGTTGAGGGGCATGAGTGGAAGGAGGTGAAGGGTGAAATTGGATTCTCTAAGACACTCTTATCTAATTGTAAATTATTCTTTTGCAGAATCTCCTGAATTTAAATGCAGTGTTGCTATGAGCCAGTGACGAGACAAAATGTATTGATAAGCCTTGCCTTATTAACTGCTTCAATTACCATTACTGCTGACTGAAGGGGAAAAATATTCCCAAACCAGGCCAATAGCTCAGCAATTGTAGGTGTAGAAAAATGATTTTTAAAATACAATTGGCATGGCTGCTCTCATCCTCTCCAACACAGAGAAAGACACAACAGAACTGGGAGAATATTTTGGACTTCTGGCTCCTACAGTTCTAAGCATGTGTCTAGTTTTCCTTTCCTCCTTTTGTTCCCTTTTAACTGCAAAATGAAAATGCCTCTTATAATGCTATCCAAGGCATGCCTACTCAGAAGTAAGTTCCCTGGGGCTCAGTCCTAGAGAAGCAGGATCAAAATGGCAGCCTTAATGTATATTCTGACCAAATATATTTTGTAAACTCGGTACAGTATGCTGTCCACGTTTTGTTGAAGCTGTGATTACTCGTATCTGCTTTTTCAAAAGTTATTTATATAGTAGTACAGTATTAGCAAACAGATTTCCCCACCATCTGAAACATGAAAAATTGGACGTTTTCATAAAGATTTCTGAGTTGTTGTGCGCAATTAAAAATCCTGCACCTACATTGGTCCGCATTTCTTGGGAATTCTTTCCTAAGCACCACACTTCACAAAAATAGACAGACAGACAGTCTAACACAGGTAGTAGAGATTTCTCCTAATAACAGAGTAACATGTGAATAGGGCTTCTATCTAGCCTATGAAATACCTTTAACAAGTCCATAAATTTATTCTAAGCTTCTAAAGTAGGCATCAGAATTACGTATGTATTTAATATATGTATATTATGGGGTGGGGATTGTTTAAATGCTCGCCCCAGAATTTTGACTAGCACCTCTGGGCATGGCAAATAAACCATAATTATTTTTTTAAGAAACCAGGAGTTTTCTCAAACCACACATTCAGTTTTCAGAGTGGGATGATGGATCAAAAGCACTACCACAATACTCTGTATTTCAAAAAACCAATGGGAATCTCACTAGTTTGGTTTGTTGATATACTGGCTATTGCTCTCCGTGGGACATAAAAATTCTGCAATCACAGAAAACCTAGGCAAACTAAACCAGCTTTTTACTTTCTATGGACATTCTTCCTAAAACAACCCATGAAAATTACAAATAACAATGCTACTGTGTGACTTTTAAACATCAGAAAGGTTTTAAAAAGTATTAAAATAGAACAACTACTAGCATTCCATAGATTCTGAAATATTCAATGTATGTATATTGTATATATCAATTGCCTAATAAGCATTAATACAAGCCCTCTTTTTCGATGTATAAAAACTACATGCTTGCATGGGCTCAATAGAATTTTCACGTTTAAAATTTAAACAGCAGCCTTTACCATATCCTGTGATTTGAACTGGATGTTTTTTTCTGATCCGCCCTAAATATTTACAGTGTGATCTGCTTTAACATGTTTGATTTATTTTGGGGAAGGATTAAAAAAAATAAAACTCTCCAAGCAGCAGGTATATAAACAGTAAATAGTATTTGATTCAAGAATAAAGAATGCACACTTAAATGTAGCTTAAGTGTAATATGTAAACAACAGGATATGCTTCCATTCCATTTTAGCAATTTGAACAATTTCAGGTTTGGTGTTAATCTGACCTGCACAGCCAATTAGGTAAATTTACAGTATGAATTTGAGTTTGGTTTAGTATATGCACTTGTCTGTACCTCTATCTAAAAATCAATAACGCATGTTATACACTCTCTAACATACTACCTAAGAAAAACATCCAGAAAATCATCAGTTACAACTTTAGAGCTTACACAATATTGTCATTGCTGCTAACTGTTGATGGAACGAATAATCTTCTTGAAATGGATTTCTTTCGGTGGAAAAATAAGGGACTGGAATGGAAAGTTTTCTCCCTCACATCATTGGTCTGTTTTGAAATACCCAGATCTTGATTTAGCTAAAAAGCTAGTTGTGGCTACGTCCTCCCCTGGCTCAGCGTGGCTCCCATGTCACTCCATCACTGCCAATATCCCGCTTCCACCTGCCAAAGGTGCAGGTGGGCAGGAGATCCATTGGTGAGAGCCAATGGGAGGCCTCAAAAAACAGGGCATTCTCAGGGTGGGGCTGAGCTAGCTGTGGATCTGCTGGCTGCCAAGCTGGTCTCACTGCCATCATATGACAGCATCAGACCTGATCAGATCAGTGCCCTGCCCCTTTGGCTGAGGACACTATGAGCAGCAGAGATGTGGCCATGCTGGAAAGCCCAGCCAACATAAGGATTCCACCCTTAGTCAGTACAAATGTTTCCCAGAGAATTGCTTCTTCTCTGGCATGAACCATTGCCACTTAATTTCTTTTCAAAGTCCTTTAGAGCATATGTAGGCCAAAGCACCTCTCTAGACTACTACCTTTTGTATTTGTACCTTATTCTAGTACAGTGGTACCTCGGTTTACGAACTTAATCTGTTCCGGAAATCCGTTCTTAAACCAAAACCTAATGAGGCCTCCCACCGCCGGTGCCCTTCCACCGTTCGGATTTCGTTCTTAGACTGAGGTAAAGTTCACAAACCGGGACACTACTTCCAGTTTTGCGGAGTTCGTAAACCGAATAGTTCGTAAACAGAGCTGTTCTTAAACCGAGGTACCAGTGTAGTTTGAGAGTTCTGAGTTGCAACCTGCGTCTTCAAACTAAATGTGCATACCGTAATAAAAGGTGCTTCCACAGCTATGTAGATGCTTCCATGAAATACGTAATGAAATCTAAGAGAAGAAAATATCAGTATGAGACCATGGACCGCAGCCTGCCCTGCACCGTAAGAAGCAGGTAAGTGAGGAAACCCGCTAATCCAGCCCTTTCTTCCTTGGTCCTGAACACTACCACCAAGAAGATACCTTATTCCCTGGTTGCTTGCATATAACAGGATGTTCACCTCTGCCAATTATTTAGTGGCCTAGCCATTTCTCTGGGTAGCATGGCCTGGCCAGGAGGCATGGGGTGAATAGTAAGGCCACACATAAAGTGAGCCGGTTTTTAGTAACAGTTTGAACAGTTAACCAAAAGAGCAAATTTAAAAAATATATCAGGAGTGGCTTGCCAAGTTGAGCAGGGCCCCAAACCTGACACCAATGCCGGGAGGCGACTGCTGCAGCTCTGCCCACTAGGTGAGCCACTCCTGAAATATAAAATAGGAAAACACATCCAGATAAACCTAGTTTATATTGTTTCCTTACTCAAGTCATTAGTTCTCTCAGTTCAGCTTCTGGATTCTAGGTTTACTGCATCCCTCCTCTCCATCCTGGCTTCTTTTCTCTGATTTTAGCTTTCTCGTTTCTTCAAACAAAGGTCAAACGATACTTATCAGCTTTACTTATATACATTATTTCCGCTCCCTATTCCAATGTCTTGGCCAATCAGAAGGGCAGCCGAGTTCTCTGTGGGTTTCTCGCTCCCACAATTTCTTTGCTTTCTTTCCCAGCCCCCTCTTTTTATTTTACTGTTTCATTTCACTCTTAATTTTCCTTTTCTAGGGCTGAAAATTTGACCCTCCTGCAAAGAGCAAACTAACTAAAAGAAACCATTTTACAATCAAGAACAAAGCACACAAAATGGCTGAAACAGTTTCACTCCTTCACAGAGAAGATTTAAATTCTAAAAATATGCACTGGAAGCAGAATGATAATTTTCTAATCCTTAAGAGGGTAATGTCAACATCATGAAGTGACACTTTCCTGAAATGAGAATGAACTAGGCGCTAATGCTTAATACACTGCCAGTCCCATCTTACGCACACTGACTCAGAAGCAAGGCCCACAGAGTTCAATAAAGTGAGGCCTTGGCCTTGAAGAGTCCAAGAGCAGAAAAACAGTGGGCAATGTGAGCCAAATTTCTTGTTTACGTCAATACAATCTATCTATCTGTGTGTGTGTCACACAAAGGAATGTATGTGCAATTGACAGCCTTCGCTGAAATAAACTGGGCAACATTTCTGGATGTGGAAACCATGTTTGAGGCAGAGCTCCAACAGCTGCAGGAAATTTTTGGATCATGGTGACATAGCCACATGACTTGAAGACATCAAAACACATGCAGGTTCCTACACACCGGGCTAAAAAACAAAAACCTCCAGGCACATCAACACCAAGCTAAAAACCTGACACTATGGATTTTATCGAGATAAATCACTGCTTGCTCCAAATCACTTCTGTGAGCAAAACTGAACTACCCCTCCATCTATTTCCCCACCCCAAAATCTACTCCAGAGAATGGGGGGGGGGGACCCCAGGGAAGATTTGGGAGCACACCAGGGGAAAGAAAGTAAATGGAAATTCCACTGTGTTTGCAGAATTCACTCTGTGCACATAAAGGATTTGTTTGGATGCAACCCTCTGAATTTCAAGCATCTTCCCAATCCTGATATACAGGCTGATCCTAGTTATTAGTTTATTAGTTAGAAGACAGTCCCATTAACCTCAATGGAGCTTGCGCTTCAGTAGAATATGGATTGTAGCCATACACAGTTTTAACCCCTTTTTTAAAAAACACACACACACAAAAAACCCCACAACCATTTAAATCTTTGCTATATTTCTACAGCCAAAATTATCTATTCAAAATTACTCCATGAATTATTCATCAAAAGAACAGAGAACAACAACAACAACAAAAAAACCCTACTGAGGGGAGCGAGGGGGATTTAGTTTTGTTTCAATTAGTTTGTTTATTTGTTATAGTGGTTCTATGTATGTTTGCTAAGTGAAGTATAAAAGTGTACTGCAACTGTATCAGTGTACTGTACTTTATCCTGCAGGTAACTTCCACTGCTTTTATATTTATTCTCGAAAGCCTAATAAAAATTATTATTAAAAAAGAGTGTGTACACCCTCACACACAATTGATTGCAGGACACAGAAAAAACCCCTGTGCCTCCTCTGCACTGTACCTGATCCCTTCCTGATCTGTCTTTGCCCTTGGAATCTAGCCTGGTAAATTCAAGAGATCCAGTAATGGACACAGGACCAACACTTTTGAAGCTCAGAATCATAGAATAGCAAAGTTGGAAGGGAGCTCAAGGGTCATCTAGTCCAACCCCCTGCAATGCAGGAATCTTTGCCCATAGGAGGGCTCAAACTCACGACTCTGAGATCCAGAGTCTCAAGCTCTACCAACCGAGCCAACTCTGAGAGCCAACGTAGTGTAATGTTGAACTAGGACCTGGGAGAACAGGATTCAAATCCCCTACATGGTCATGAAGTTCACTGGGTAACCTTGGGCCAGTCGCTCACTCTCAGCCTGCAGGGGGTTGGTCTAGATGACCCCAAGACCCTTTCTAGAGAAATAAACAACTACTTGACTTTTAGAAAACATCTGAAGGCAGCCCTGTTTAGGGAAGTTTTTAATGTTTGGTGTATTTATCATGGTTTTAATATTCTATTGGGAGCCGCCCAAAGTGGCTGGGGAAACCCAGACAGATGGGTGGGGTATTAATAATAATAATAATAATAATAATTCCAATCTACAATTCTATGATTCTATCTCACAGGGTTGCTGCTGTATGCTGCCTTAAGCTCCTTGGGAGGAAATGTGGGCTATGAAAATAATAAATAAAATATAATATAATATAAATAAATTTGAAGCAGGTATAACTTGTGCACAACAACCAACAGTACACCACTCAATACCCAGCCTCCAAGGTCTATTTACAGCAGGGAAAGAGAACCTGTGTAGCCCTCCAGATATTGTTGGACTCCCAATTCCCATCAACACCAACCAGCATGACCAGTGGTCAGAGATAATGGAAGTTGTAGCATATCCATAGGTTCCCAAACTCAGACTTACAGGCACAAAAAGGCCTCAAATGCTTGTCCTCAGGTTCTAGGTGGTGATCAAAGTGATTGCTCTTTATCAAAATATATGCATTTGGTTTGCTGCATCTTCTGTTAGACAAACAATATATTTAAATTAGGGCTGCAACCCAATTAAAGAGAGAGCCAGTGTGGTGTAGTGGTTAAGAGCGGTAGACTCGTAATCTGGTGAACCGGGTTCTCATCTCCGCTCCTCCACATGCAGCTGCTGGGTGACCTTGGGCTAGTCACACTTCTCCCTGAAGTCTCTCAGCCCCACTCACCTCACAGAGTGTTTGTTGTGGGGGAGGAAGGGAAAGGAGAATGTTAGCTGCTTTGAGACTCCTTCGGGTAGTGATAAAGCGGGATATCAAATCCAAACTCCTCTTCTTCTTAAATATTTTTAATCATAAGTTGTATGTGTTTAATTGATTAATATATCTACCAGTTAAATGTGCATATAGGTACAAACATTAAGTTAGACGGGAGCAAAGGGCTTCTCCACACATGGAAGGGCTTTTTCATGTTTAGTGCAAGATCCTTTTGTGAGAAAAAGACGACTAAAAACCAGAGGTGTGTTTCCATTTGTAAACGACATTTCACAACAGTTCACAAAACAACACCTCTGTCTGCTCGCCTCTAGCTGAATCCAAACTAGTACAGTGGTACCTCGGGTTACATACGCTTCAGGTTACAGACTCCACTAACCCAGAAATAGTGCTTCAGGTTAAGAACTTTGCTTCAGAATGAGAACAGAAATCGTGCTCCGGCGGTGCGGCAGCAGCAGGAGGCCCCATTAACCTGAAGTGGTGCTTCAGGGCAAGAACAGTTTCAGGTTAAGAACGGACCTCTGGAAGGAATTAAGTACTTAACCCGAGGTACCACTGTATTTCTGAAACAAGACAGAGGCACATTTTCTTTGTTTTTAGATAATGCACACACATGCAATACCTGGCATCATTTAAGAGAAGGCATTCCTACTGTACGTGTGAAAAGAGAGAATGCCTCTTTCAAGATAGTCCTTGCTACTGAAGTTTTTACCAACACTTGCATTAAAAAAACTTCTGCTGCCCTGATTAATAAAGAGGCACCATTTTAATGAACAGAGCAATTACATACTGTTGATTTTCAAATAAAATGTAGCTTCAGGTCTCAGCCTCGCAGCCTAGAACCTCAGAACATGCTTCAAAAGTTTCACTGTAATCTGTGGGTTCAGACAAAGTTAGTTAAGCTTGGGTTCCACTGAATTTAATCAGCCATTAGTCAGAATTTAACTCAAATCCCATTGATTTTAACAAGAACCAGGTTCAAATAACTTTAGCCTGGATCCAACCCCATCCAATTCAGTCCTGGGTAACTAAATTGTGGTCCAGGAATGAGAATGTAAGTTGTAGGACATTTCAACTATCAACAGTCTTCTTTTACATTTGTACGAACTGTTCTGGGAGTACAGAGCTTATCAACGAAATTGATCCATTTGAGTCTAACATTCTTACTGATCTGCTGAAAACCTATTTGCAATCTCATCTCTGATTCATCCTTTCTTTTTTTAAAAAAAACCTGTGTGTATATATGGATTATGGACACTTGCTTATTTTAAATTGGGAACTGCTATCTAGAGAACATTATTGTTTGCTGTACCTGGCAAAAAGCTGAAGATTTCTGTATTGATTTATTGGCCTGCACAGCCTTGACAGGTACCTGTCATTACAAACCAGCAGATTTAGTATAGGGCAGGATATGAAGGTAGTATGGTTTCGCTTCCTGGGCCAAGGCTACCTACACACTGGTTTCCTTGCAGAGTAGCACAGAACACGAGGCTACATACCAGAGGTTACAACTGAACACAGTACAGCAAACGAGTTTTTGTGAAAGCATATCTAAAGCTCCTGAATAGGCACACGCTGCTTTATCTTTTACTTTTGCTTCCATGTCTATAAAGTTTAAACACTACTGTCAGGGAACTGACATTGGAGCTAGAGGCGGAGGGGAGGCTCTCAAATGATGCTGGAGAAGGGCCCAGCAGGGAGAGAGGCAGCTCAGCAGATGGGGAAGCAAATCAGCGCAACACCAGGAATAAAGGGGGGCAGATGGGGGAATCGGCGAGAGGGCTCCAGGACTCTTCACTGGACACCAGCGGGGAGAGCACGGGTCCTCCGCTACCCACGCCCTCCCTGCGCGGAAGGCTTCCGCGCAGGGAGAGTAGGAGGAGACTTGGCGTCAAACAACTTTTATGTTGGAAAAGGTTTAAGAAACGCCAACTGACGGATTCTGCTAGCGACTGAGGCAGCCACGAAGTGAAGGGCTGTCCAGACAGAAAGGTTTAAACAAGGCAACATAGCCAGGAGAGGCGGCAACTTACGCACGAGCAACCCATACTCATTACAACTACCATTAGAATTGTGGTCTTTTTTTTCTTTTTAAAAAGCAAACGTCCCACCATTTTTGGTGGTCTTTAAGGACTGCCCAGGGGTAAAGGTAAAGGGACCTCTACCCAGGGGTAGGTGGATGCAAAACTGCTGGATATTCAATGGCAGAGGTGTAAGTTATGATAGCACTGCTTGACTGGGTTACAAAAAAAACAGCACACTTAGAAGCTGACTCTGGAAAGGTGATTTCCAATGTTACAGAATACAGAACATCTTGAGGTATATAGCGGAATGCCAGGTCGTGAATATTTTTAATACATTTTATTTATTTATTTTGTAAAGCAGCAGGGAGTTGGGCTTCAGAAGTCACCCAGCTTTAGTGACATTCCACTTCTACTTATATTAATCTCCGGCTCCCCATCTGAGCAATTTGTTTTACATAAGTGCTCTTTTTTGATCTAGCCCTAACAAGCTCAGCTATCAGGCAATTTACCGTTTGTCAACAGCAATATCACCAATAAAGTACCTCAGTGGAGGCGAGGACAGAATGCCCACACAACCGCTTCAATCTGCAGAGCTGGAGCTGTTATAGGTGCCACATAATACTTGTTCTGCTTTTGTAAGAATTCAAACTTCCAGTGCGGAAACACTCAAACTTTGGAACTCCCTGTCTACTGACATCAGGCAGGCGCCTTTACTGTACTCTTTTTGAGCGGCTGTTACAAACATTTTTAGTTAAACAATCCTACCCAGATATGTAGAATGTTTCTATGTGTTTTAATGCGTTGTTAGCTTGTGCAGGGAGGAGACTCTTGAGAGTCCCATGGACTGCAAGAAGATCAAACCTCTCCATTCTTAAGGAAATCAGCCCTGAGTGCTCACTGGAAGGACAGATTGTGAAGCTGAGGCTCCAATACTTTGGCCACCTCATGAGAAGAGAAGACTCCTGGAAAAGACCCTGATGTAGGGAAAGATGGAGGACACAAGGAGAAGGGGACGACAGAGGATGAGATGGTTGGACAGTGTTCTCAAAGCTACAAACATGAGCCTAACCAAACTGCGGGAGGCAGTGGAAGACAGGAGTGCCTGGCGTGCTCTGGTCCATGGGGTCACGAAGAGTCGGACACGACTAAACGACTAAACAACAACAACAAAGCTTGTGCAGATTTTAATTATCATTTGAATGCTTAAACTAATTGTTTTTAATTATTTTTACTGATAATTTCATTGTTTTATTCTTTTTGTAAACCACTCTGAGGTTTCTTTTTACAACCGAGGGGTATATAAATTGTATGAAATAAACGAATGAAGCCAAAGTGAAGAGGTCTGCTTTCAAAGTGGAAGAGCTGGTGCTCAGTTCAAAACCAAGTGTGCCCCATCGAGAAGCTGATACTTATTTGTTTTATTTAGGTATTTACAGTCTGCACTTTAATAATGAATTTCTAGGCAGATTGCAACATACAAAATATAATAAAAACCAGTCCATAAATACCCATAAAACATAATTAAAAAAACAATAAAACTTCAGGAGATGTTGGTTAAAAAAAGAAATTCACCATATAGTTAGCAGGCCTGAACTCCCATGCCTAATTATAATGACTTAGAAGCCTCATTGCTTTCAATAGGCCTTACTTTGAAATCTCTCGTTAAATTTAATAGGTTTTATTTCAAAGCATTTTCACTTAGGATTGTGGGGCTAGATGGGAATCCCTGACATACTTCCATCCTAAATTTCCTTCTTCAGAGAAGTAGGTGTTGCAGATGGAACTTACTGTCTTGGGAATGTATTTTACAACTGCAGCCTAGTTGTACAAGGTACTAGTACATACACATGTACACTGCTGCTCTGCTGGGAATACAAAGAAGCAGGACCACAGTCCTTTTTCAGTCACTGGTTTCATACTGCAGACCCTGCAAGTGTCTCTATTTTTCAGGGATGTCCCTGATTTAGAGAAGCCATCCCAGTTCCTGATTTGACCCTGGAATGTCCCACTTTTCCTTAGGATGTCCCTATTTTCATTGGAGAAATGTTGGAGTGTATGGAATTATCCGACCCCCTAAGCCGTCTGAAGGCAATCCTGTATAGGGCAGTTTTTAAAATGTTTAATGTTCTGTTGTGTTTTTATATATGTTGGAAGCTGCCCAGAGTGGCTGGGGCAGACCAGTAAGATGTGTGGGGTATAAACAGTAAAATCATTATGGAATAGGACGTTCCTATTTTCCCTGGAGAAACGTTGGAGGGTGTGCATACTGTTCACTAAACAAGGCTGTGTACACATTACCTACCAGCTTATAATGCAGCTAGGTTGTTCTTTTTCTCTATTCAGATCAAAGCTGGTTTAGGGGAGAACCTATCAAAAGGCAGTACAGTGGTACCTCAGGTTAAGTACTTAATTCGTTCCGAAGGTCTGTTCTTAACCTGAAACTGTTCTTAACCTGAAGCTAATGGGGCCTCCTGCTGCTGCCGCGCCGCCAGAGCACAATTTCTGTTCTCATCCTGAAGCAAAGTTCTTAACCCGAGGTACTATTTCTGGGTTAGCGGAGTCTGTAACCTGAAGCGTATGTAACCTGAAGTGTATGTAACCCGAGGTACCACTGTACAAACACCAGGATAGATACAGATTGTGGCTAAAGCCCTGTGCAAGCTACTTCCCAAACTAGTAGTGAGAAGCCACAAGGAGGAAAGTAAACTGCAGTGTGCATGCAGTCTAAGTTGCATTTTGCATGCACATGCAAGTTGCAATTCTAGTGACACCCAATTATTTATTTCCCCATCAGGAACTCCTCCATCCTAGATGCTGTCCAACAGAGAACGTGTGTGGTTTTTAACCTTTCTGGAATGAAAATCTGAAGGTCTGAAATCTGTTTTTACTATTTCCTCTGGTTTAGAATAACCTCTTCTTTATTTGTTATTTATAGTATGATGAATGAGTATCACGAATGCTTTTTCTATATTTACAATAACATGTTTGTTTGTTTTTAAGTGGTAGACAGGGATCCGCTTACTCACATGATTCTATGATTCTATAATAATTTGATCTGGCTTCAACTGGCTTCAGGATGTAACTTCAAGAGAGCGTGGTCAGAGAGTTGGCCGGACAAAGACAGAAAGTAAACTAGTGGGTGAGTGGTTGGAAATCAGGGATTGCCCCCTCAATGTAACTGTTGTACAGCAGATAGGGGAAACCTGCAGACTCCAACTCAGATCAGTGCCAACAAGCATGGCCAGTGATCAGTCCAACAACATCTGGAGAGCTACTGGTTCCCATACATGCAAAACGGGATTGCTCTGTTCACTATAAAGATCCAATATTACATCAGGAGCTGATATTTTCAGGTTGAAAACCCTAAAAACAATTCAATGTGCTTGCTTTACTAGTGAAACCTCCCCTCCGGCAACCTCTCATTTAAAGATAACATTACAACGACTGAGGGGGGTTGTAAATAAAATGTTTTTAAAATAAAATGGTCTAACAACAAATCATTAAAAGCTGTAACAATGGGTGGAGCTGAGTTTAAAGAACCACAGAGCATCTGAAACCAGTGGCTTGCTCACACATAATGCTGATCTGAAGCCATGGTTTGTTGTTGGGCTTACACAAACATCCATTTCTTTTAACCATGGCTTGGCATTATATGTAAACCAAGCACCCTTCTTTAACCATGGTTTGCTTGACCACCCTTCCCCAGCAGCTCACTAAACTACAAGAGCATGAAGCAAGAGCTGGTGGAAATCAGGGCAAACTTTAGAGAAACAAGCCATAGCTTGTTTTTCTCTAGAACAACTCATAGTTAGCTCACTGTCTGTCCAAAACACAGCTTAGTATTATGTACAAACCAGGTCACTGTCTGACTTAAAGCTGCATTTGCATTTACTGTCACCTAACCAGACCTGCAGGGACGCGGGTGGCGCTGTGGGTTAAACCACAGAGCCTAGGACTTGCTGATCAGAAGGTCAGCGGTTTGAATCCCTGTCCCTGCTCCTGCCAACCTAGCAGTGCAAAAGCACATCAAAGTGCAAGTAGATAAATAGGTACCACTCTGGCGGGAAGGTAAACGGCCTTTCCGTGTGCTGCTCTGGTTCGCCAGAAGCGGCTTAGTCATGCTGGCCACATGACCTGGAAGCTGTACGCCGGCTCCCTCGGCCAATAAAGTGAGATGAGCACCGCAACCCCAGAGTCAGTCACGACTGAACCTAATGGTCAGGGGTCCTTTTACCTTTACCCAGACCTGCAAAGGCAAAGCGTTAAAAACAAATTTCCCTTTTATGCACAGCAAATTCCACAGTGCTGCTGTTAAGAGTTGTGTTTGGGGCAGTAATTTATGGTCCTACTTTACAGAATGACCAAGTTCCCCAGTTACTACAATTCTGAAGAAAGTAAAGTAAAACCCATTGGGCTCCACCATAAGACCACCAAGTCCTGTGTCCAAAACAGCATAACTGCATCCCTCTAGCTTAATATGTCACATGACAAGATTTCTTTACTGTGCAAAACGGTGCAAAACACTACTCATATAGCTTCACAGTAAACCTCAAAAGTTGGCCTCTTCCAGTCTTGGTGACGGCACATTTGTTCTGAGCATTATATATGAAAGGGTTTTGGGGAAAACAAATGTTCTAGTGCAGTATTGGGCTATAAATCCCATACTAAAACTCTGGTTTAAAGGTAAAGGTACCCCTGCCCGTATGGGCCAGTCGTGTCCGACTCTGGGGTTGCGTGCTCATCTCGCTCTAGAGGCCGGAAGCCGGCGCCGTCCGAAGACACTTCCGGATCACATGGCCAGCGTGACAAAGCTGCAGCTGGCGAGCCAGCACCAGCGCAGCACATGGAAACGCCGTTTACCTTCCCGCTATAAAGCGGTCCCTATTTATCTACTTGCACTTAAGAGTGCTTTCGAACTGCTAGGTGGGCAGGAGCTGGGACCGAACGACGGGAGCTCACCCCGCCGCGGGGATTCGAACCGCCGACCATTTGATCGGCAAGTCCTAGGCGCTGAGGTTTTACCCACAGCGCCACCCGCGTCCCTCTGGTTTACTTAGTGCTAATTCAGTATTTTCAGTACAGCAGCAGACATGTGAAAGCCTAACTGGAAGAGCTTAGAGTGCTGACCCTTCACTGTATTATAGTTCAGTAATTGATAGGTTTCTTTCTGCACAAATACTTTGATTCTTCCAGTCCACTGATGGCTAAAACTTCAAAATATATCTAAATACCATTTGAGTTGAAATCCCTGGCTCTAGAGTTTCATACTTTTCTTGATAATATGGTTATCTGCATTCTTTACAGTCGTACCTCGGAAGTTGAACGCTTTGCGAGTCGAACGTTGTGGCTCCTGAACGCCGCAAACCTGGAAGTGAGTGTTCTGGTTTGCGAATGTTCTTTGGAACCCAAACGTCCGATGCGGCTTTCGTTGCTTCTGATTGGCTGCAGGAGCTTCCTGCAGCCAATTGGAAGCCGTGCCTTGGTTTCCGAACATTTTGTAAGTCGAATGGACTTCCGAAACGGATTCTGAGGTACGACTGTATTACAGAGGGCGATAAAAAGAGGGGTTGAGAAGGAAAGGACACAAGCTGTTAAGAGACAAGAAAAGGCACCCGAAGCCAGGTGTATTGGTTTTACTTTGTCAAGTTTGGATTTACTCTTCCTCTTGTCAAAACCGCACAGCATTTTTTATTTCAATGTTTTAAACAACCTTAGAAAACCATCGGCACCTTTTATTCAGATATTAACTTCTACAGAACCTCTGTAGAAATTCCATTTCTATGTAGAGAAAGCCCTCTTTTGCGGCACTGCAGACTCCAACTCCCATCAGAGCCAGCTGGCATAGCCAATGGTTGAGGTGCTGGGAATTGTAGTATCCGGAGTGCCACAGATTCCCTATCCCTTGACTATGTTGTTGTTGTTTTGGTTACACATGCTTACATTGGATTAATAGACTTGCAAACTCCTCAGAATTTATCCCGTGAAGTTCCCAGCCCCAAATTTCTTCAGGGCACCATTTTGGGGAAAACAATACATTTTCACGCTCTTTTTAAAAAAGGTGCTGGTACTCACCATGAAGTTGTTACAGTAAATGCCACACTTTTAACATTTAACTTTTGGGGGCGGGGGTACCCTTAAGTACCCCCGGGGGGGGGGAGCACTGCCTCTGAGCATTTCAGCCCTGCCTTGCTGGCTTCTGGGTGAAATGCAAAATCAACTACCTGCCAGAAACAAGCGCATCGAGAGATAGGGAAGGAACATACCACCAAATCCAAGCGTGCAGGGGGAGGCACGAGATCTGAATTTGGGGAGGGAGGGGAGTGCAGTGCAGGGGGCGCAGGAAATCCCCAACAGCTGCACAAGGAAACGAGGAATGGGCAGCGGGGGTGGGAAACTCTCCGAGGCCAAGCGGCGCATCGGCGGGGAGGCCTCCCTCTCGGCTCCCCTCTCTCCTCCCCGAGGGTGCCGAGCTCCTCCCCGCCGTCCAGAGCGCTCTCCCTGGGTGCTCTTTGGAAACTCTCCGTTGTTATTGCCGCCTTCGTATGCAAGCAGATCCCCGGCAGCCTGTGCTGCCCAAGGCCGTCGATGCCGCCTCCTGTCCTGATTGACACCGGAGTTGGTACATACGGGGTCTGTCACGGGAGGCGAGGAGAAGGGTGTCGTTTGGTCTAAATATGGCTTTTCTGGTCTGCCCCCTCCCCGTCTCTCCATGTTACCTTGGCGCCACCACCATCATCAAGGCTGCAAGGGAGACAAGAGGCAGGCGCAAGGCAGGGGCGCAGGTCCCCGAAGGGGGAGGGAAGGGGGAGATGCACACAAACACACACACAATAACAACAACACACAGAGGCAGTTTGCACAGCCTCCCGCTCGGAGTTTGTCAGCAGCCAACTCTTCCCCCGGCGGAGAAAGGAGCGGCGGCAGCGCTGCCGCCGCGACGTTGCGCCAGCGAGCGCGCAAGAGTTGTGGCTGCAAAAGCAGCTCCGGGGACAACTAGATAAGGACGGAGCGAGGAGCCCACACTGCTGGTTGTATCATACACAAACACACGCCATTAAAACGTGCAAGACGTCGAAGGCCACACGCACATGTCACACTACAGAGATCTCCCGACAAGCCGCCTCTTGCAACAGGCGCTTCCAGCAACAACAACAGCAGCAGCAACGCTGAAGTCGTGCACGACCCGCGCGGCCTCCCGGAACCACGCAAATGCCGCGCGTTGCAAAAGGCTGCGTTTTCTTTTTATTGTGCGTTTCTTTCCCCTCGCCCTGCCTCCCTCTAACTCAGACCTGGAGGCGACCTCCACGCACCTTTCTTTTCGGCATGATGTCCCTTCTGCGGGCCGCCGAAGGGAAGCGACGAAGAAGCGGCTGCCGCTATTGCTCGCTCGCTGCTGCTGCTGCTGCTGCTATGACTGCCACCGCCGCTGCACAAGCGCAGATCTCGCGTCCTCCTCCGGCGGTGCCTTACGAAATGTCCCCGATCCGCGGCGGCCCCAACGAGCAGCGGCGGCAGCAGCAGCGGCAGCAGCCTGGGCGCTCTCGGCGGAGCCTTCCTGGGGGCGCAAGCGGCGGCCTCCACCCGCTGCCACTAGCGACCGCCCGCCTCGTCCGGAGAGCGAAGGAGAAGCGCGCGCATGTGTGCGTGTGTTGGGGGGGGGATTTGCACACTTCTGAATCGCGATTGGCTCCCCCGTTCGGTAGCCCCCCCCCCTCCGCCGCAGACGCCTAGCGAGGGGAAGGCCTTGCGGTTCAGATGCAGGGGCATCGCGCAGGGCGAGGGGCGAGGCGGGATCCTGCCATTGGCCAGCCGGCGGCGCGCGGAGGCTTCCTTCCCAAAGGAAGGTCGGAAGGAGAAAGGCGGATCGCCCTGTCTCCATTTACCCCGAGTGTAGCGGGGAGAGGAGGCTTGCTTCCTTCTCCACTCTTCCGCGTTTGGCACAACTGGCTCCCCCCCCCCCCAAAGATCCTAACATGTCCTTCTACCTCATCGTTGTTGCCATAATGTTGATATCGAGACCATACCCTCCAGTGAAAACAGGAACATCCTAAGGAAAAGCGGGACATTTCGCAATCAAATCAGAAACAGGGACGTTTTCAGTAAATCCTGGACTGTTCCTGGAAAATAGGGACACTTGGAGGGTATTATTATTATTATACCGAGTTAGTGTGTAAAATGCTGTAGCCTACGAAATATGGTTGGCAATAAATGCCTGCAGCCCTGATCCATTCGTCTCTGATGCTTTTATTTTAATTTTACGCACCGGATTGCTTCCCTCTTGAGAGCAGATGTCGGTTGTCCTCTTCAGGCCATGCACTTCAAGGGAATTTCAAATTACGATATTGTTTGTTTCTGCTGCCTGCTCCGGAGGAAGCTGCTAGCTTCATTAAATATGGCGGGCATATAATCTGAGAGATTTCAACAGTCAGTTGAAAACCATCAGGTCATGGATTTGCCCTTATTTCACATACCGGTAAATTAGGCCTATATCAAGCAGGAAGTGGCTAGCCTTGTGTCCTACTTTTATAGAGGACAGTCCTCTGTTTTGAAGGACGGTCCTCTGTTGGACAGTATCCCGGTTTGAGGGCAGCCCACCCAAATTTGGTTTTTAAGATGAGGAACCATGAAAAGGTGTAGTAGGAACCTTGGAGATGACTGCCAGCAGTTAGCACAAGGTTACCAGATTTTTTTCAATGAATCCGGGGACACTCTTTAACTTCAATGGATTTTGTATGGGGACTGATTTGTAAATCCGGGGACTGTCCCCGGGAAATGGGGACATCTGGTAACCTTAGGTTAGTATCACTTGGTCATAAGGCTTCACAGGCTCGGTTGCACAATCTGGGTAAAGGAGGGGGAGAAAGTGGCAGTGGCAGGGCATCAGTGAAACAGGATGTGCCCTCCCTGCCTATGATAAATAACGTTCAGCCTTTTGTGTCATAACTTTACATTTTCTATCCCCTGTTTGTGAAAGCTCACATTCCCACCCCACACTTTTGCATTTCGGGTTTCATACAGCTTTGTACTGTATTTTGTAAACAGAACTGCTCCTAGGTACAGATCTTTTAAGGTTTCTTCTGCCTCTTAGCAGAAAGTGATGATAAAGTTGCATAGTGGAATATATTAGTTTGGGACTATTAAGGCAGATCCACACCATACATTTATAAATCACATCCAATTCATGTTTAAAGCACATTATTGCCCTCAAAAAATCACGGGAACAGTAGTTTTCTGCCCCTCACAGCTTCAATTCTCTAAAACCCTTAACAAACTACAGTTTCCATTATTCTTTTGGAGGCACCAGAGAGGTGCCAGAAATGAGTTCCAGTGAGTTCCAGCTGAAAAAAGCCCTGCCTGGGACTGAGCACTTTTAAATGCCATTGATTTAATGGAAGAGTTGAGTACTTCCTTTATTTACTTTCTCACTGAACTCAATGGGGCTGCCAGCGAGAGCTTCACCTTCAGCTACTATTACTGCTGGCTAAGGAAAGGCTTGTTTCTAAAATCATGCGTTGTGATACCCTTGTACCAGCAGCACTGCTATCACAAAGAAAACAAAGTAGACCACAGAGACACGGCAAGAATAGATTCTGGGGACACTAATGCTTGCTTGACAGCACAAGTTAACACTGTACTTCCACTTAATGGAGAACCCCAAATGACCTGCCATATTACACGGTTTGCCTCCTCAACCACGATGGAGCATAGCATTCCAGGTAACTGCTGGCCATCAAAATCACAGGGAATGTATACAAGACCTAGCTAGGGTAGGGAACAAAGGTCTGTCCTTTCAAGTTACGCAGCCCAAAGCTACATCATTCAGCCTGTCCTTATGTCCATGCAACTTTGGTTTAGACTTGATTTTGAAGTGCTTACATTCCCTGTCCCAGGTCATCCGACTGCCCAGGTCTGTTTATACATCCCCTTTTTGTCCAACAAATAGCCAGAATTTTTATTTATACTAAGACCTGTGAGGCACAACACCTGCCAATGCCATCTGCTTTGCTAGGGGAAAGGAGGTTAAAAAACAACAACCCACCACCCCTGTGGTTTGTTTAAAATCCATTAACTCCAAGTAACCTTTCCAATACCATTTGTAGTCAAATAAGGTTGGGGGGCTGGGAGAGAAATTGCCTTCCTTATATATACAGTTTATAGAACAACAGCCCAGTGAGTAACATTGAGTGTCACTATCTCCAGCGTCGGACAATTTAAATTGATTAAATTGCTACCTGGCTCAAAGAAATGGTCCTGTTTGTAATCTGTTTTTTAAAAAACCAACAACAGCAATATATGGAATTTCCTTAAAACTCTCCATTCTGAAGAACTTGGCTTGGTTTCCAGCAGGCATGAGCCCATTCCTCCCTGCTGCATTCATAACACGTCCAAATGGTGGTGGTGTCTGAATAGCCCTGAAGCAGAGGTGCAGTTAGGTAATTTTATGTTCTGAATTTACTGGAGGTTGGGGGGAGGGAAGGTAGGAAGTAATAGGCATTACTTCACTTTGCAGTGGTACCTCGGGTTACAGACACTTCAGGTTACAGATGCTTCAGGTTACAGACTCCGCTAACCCAGAAATAGTACCTTGGTTAAGAACTTTGCTTCAGGATGAGAACAGAAATCATGCTCCGGGCGGCGCGGCAGCAGCGGGAGGCCCCATTAGCTAAAGTGGTACCTCAGGTTAAGAACAGTTTCAGGTTAAGAACTGACCTCCAGAATGAATTAAGTTCTTAACCTGAGGTAGCACTGTACTTCAAATGTTCTTATGCAGCGGGAGGGAGGGGGAACTTTGTAACATGGCAACAACAAAAACGATTTCAAAATCTGGTAAGTCAGCTCTTCTTGGTTTGGGAGTCCTGCTCATTCTACAGAGTGCCTGCCTCTTGAATGGCTGTCCCCTCAAATCCTGCCCTGGCAACACTACTGCCCTCAAATATTATGGTTATGGTGTTTCCAGGTCACTCAGGAAATTGATATTTGGTAGTCAAAGGCATTTTTATTACTAGGAAAAAAATGTGTTTTTTTAAGGGACTTCTTTACGTCACAGCTGTCAAAATGAAATAAATGCTTAAACAAACGTGAGGTACAAATTTTGCTTAATAAAGAGGCCCAGCAGTTCTAAAGAGATGGGATGTTGGCCTGTGGCAGCGCAGTGGCCTGTTCCACTCGGATGTGGGGAAGAGGGCTCCCTTCTAGGACCCAGAAACACACCCATGCTGGCAAAATGAAAACTTCCATTTATTGGTATTAGAAATGTCTTTTTTTAACAGCCATTTTATATTTCCATAAGTGAGCAGTTTATATTCATTTGTTAGAGTGCATCCAGATGTCTTCCCTCAAGGTGGTATTCTTTTTGTTTGCACTGTGTGGTGTGTTTCCAGTACACATATGTCAATATTTTGTTCTGTGAACTGCCCTGAGATCTTGTGAGATGTATGCCAAACAAACAAACAAACAAACAAACAAACAAACAGACAGTGTACTTCCTCCCCTCCCCCCAGCACACACACAAACATGCAGAGTTAGTACATCAATTGCAATAGTAAATACTTCTGTAAAATGTGTGTTGCACAAGTAACCCAGAGTACTTGCTAGCGGATATGAAATAGTTAACGATGAGCAGCTCAATTTTTCCTCTCATGTTTACAGAATTTTAACTTCTCACTCGATTTTCAAAAATTAATTGTTGCTGCTGCTTCTTTACATTGCTTTATTATGGATTTTTCCTCTTTGGGATAGAAGTTCAATACAAAATATACATATCTAGAACCTTTTTCCTGAAAAGCAGGCGTTTCCCATATCTGAACAGGATGAAATTACTATTACAATCTCAAGCTTTCCATTAGTCATAGTGTCTAGGGAGCTTCCAAGTCCCCACAGCTTCACTGCCAGTCTTCTTTCTGAATTCTTGATTTTTCTGACTCATTTTCCTCTCACCATCCTGAAGTTTAGACACAAAAGAGGAAAGGGAGGATGCATTTAAATTCATTTGCAAGAACCTAAAATTCATATCCATTATTTCTGCTGTTTTTATAGAGACAGCATGTGACAAATTGGAAAGAACCTCTCATTTACTTTTGACAGATCTGTTGTCAAATTCTTCAAGATTATTTTGACCGGAAGATGCCTTTTTTGTGTAGCCTGGGAAGGCAACAGCAACCATGGCATGCAATGTAGGCAGTGCTTTAACACTCTCATAAATATGTTTTTAGTAGAGCTATATGAGGAAGAGAGACTTCTGGGGAAAGGAGCGTGAAAGACCGGCCCAAGACATTTTGGCACCTGAGGTGAACCACAAAATGGTGCCCCTTCTCCACCAGGGAAGAAGCGGCGAGTGACGATAAATATCAGGACCAAAGCAGGGATAAAGATCTACATTGGAATCTGCTGCCTCTGTGGATCCTGCTGCCTGAGGCAGTCACCTCATCTTGCCTCATAGGTGGGCAGGCCCTGTATGTATGCATTTATTTAACACATGTAAAGCACCTAAAATGTTCTAAGTGCTGTACGGATGCTAAAAGATAACACTCCCTGCCTGTAGGCTCACAGTCTAATAAGACATGATAAAAAAGGGAAAATGCATGGAGGGGGAAGAGGAAACCAAGAAATGGAGTACACGGATCAGGTCAGGTTA